GACTCTCTCTCTCACGCTCACTCTCTCTCTCACGCTCACACTGACACTCTCTCTCACGCTCACACTGACTCTCTCTCATGCTCACACTGACTCTCTCTCATGCTCACACTGACTCTCACGCTCACACTGACACTCTCTCACGCTCACACTGACTCACTCTCTGTCTCTCTCTCGCTCATACTGACTCTGTCTCTCTCTCTCACGCTCACACTGACTCTCTCTCTGTCTCTCGCTCACACTGACTCACTCTCTCACACATGCTCACACTGACTCTCTTGCTCTCACACTGACTCTCTCACTCACTGACACTCTCTCACGCTCACACTGACTCTCTCACACACGCTCACTCTCTCTCACGCTCACACTGACTCACTCTCTCTCTCACATGCTCACACTGACACTCTGTCTCTCTCTCTGTCACGCTCACACTGACATTCTCTCACGCTCACACTCTCTGTCTGTTGTGCTCATACTGACACACTCTTACTCACTCTTGTTCACTTGCACATTCACTCGCGCTCACTTGTACAGACTTTCTCGCAGGTTCGCTGTCTTGCTGTCGCACATACTGGTTCCCCTGCCATTATAAACTTGGATGCAGTCATTGATAATAAAAAAAAGGCTGACATGGCAGTCTGACAAAAAGTGACAGTGAAGGAGTTTGTAAATGGTAAGTGGTCATGAGCATCAGTCTTAAAAACATATTGGGGAGGAATTGGAAACTCTGACTTTGCTTGACCAATCAGCAGTTCTTTAAACAGTTATGGTCTTTGCAACAAAGCAGTGGGCAAAATGTTACAAGTAGTAATTATGGGCTTTGGGTCGTCTTGTGTATCAACAAAGATGGAATGGCAAAAAATTGGCAGATAATGTAATCATCTTCAAGTAACTGAGATTGCAGAGAAATTGAAGCTGTGTTTATGTATAAAGCTACTGCTACTCTCTCTCACCCAACTTTAAAGAACATGCTGTCCAAAATGCCTCTGAAATCCCACGCTATTTAAACGGGCTTTGACTAATTCTGTTGCTGCAACTGGCGAACACATTCTGATTATATTTCAGATACTTTCAGTGTTTATGAGGAAAATTGAGCAAATAGGAAGCAGTCTCAGTGCGTTGTTCTTCTATGTTGTAATGCTAGGGGCAGACTATGTCAGGGTGAAACATTTGTAAAACACTTTGTTCACATTACGCACGACAAGGAGAGTGGAGCTGTGATAGATCAGCCAACATCATACTCAACGGGGAGCAGGCTTAGAAGGGCTGAGTGGCCTAATTTTGATTTCTTATATGTACGTCTTAAGCTACAGATACCACACGATTTACTCTTATTTTAAATTCTAGTTAACAAATATTTTTAGTGTTTAAAAAGACTGTTTGTTTGTTTATTTTAATTCCACTCCTCTTAGTTAACAAGGATATGTCTGAGATTTTTAATGAACTTGTCTGGATATGTTACAACAAACCTCTGAGGCAGCTGGGACTTGAAACCGGACTTCTGGTCCAGGGATCTGGACACTACTGCAGTGTCACAAGGGTCTTAGAGGTCATGTGTAAGCTGACTGTGTCTTACAGAAAAGACTGAGGGGCCAGGGACAGAAATTAAAACATACAAAATGAAGGATGTTTATGTGCTGGATACAATTCAGAGAAGGTTTACTGAGACCTTGGAATGAGCAGAGTGCCTTATGAGGAAAATCTTAGATGGGTTAGGCGCATATCCTCTGGTGTATTAAAGAGTCAGAGGGGATTTAAATGAAACGGAAGATCCTGAGGGGATTTGATTGGGTGAATGTTGAAAGGATGTTTCCTCTCATGGGAGAATCTAGAACAAGGTGGGGTCAGAGTTTACCAATACTGGGATGTCCATTTAAGACTCCAGAAGAGGACACTTTTTTTTTGAGGGTTGTGAATTTTTAGAATTCCCTTCCTTAAATGGTAATGGTTGCAGAATCTTTAAATAGTTTTAAGGCGGATGGAGATAGATTCTTGATGTCTTGGGGAATGAAAGATTGTTAGGGGATAAGTAGGGTTGAGGTTAAAATCTGATTAGCCAAGTAGTATAGTAGTACTACCTGAATAGTAGAACTGCCTGAAAAGACCAAATGGCCCACTCAGAATCACCGATATGTCTTGAACCTTAAGAAGAAAGAAAGTAAATCTGTCTCAGCGCTATTTAATTTTGTGGATCATAGAATCATTGAATTTTACAGAGCAGTAGGAGGCCATTCGACCCATCGTGCCTGTACCAGCTCCCAAAAGAGCGACCCAGCTAGTCCCATCTCCGAAGCCTCTAAATTCATCCTGTTCAAAATGTCCAGCTCTCTTTTGAAACCTCCCACGGAAACCACCTCTACCACTCTTCCCAGGCAGCGCATTCCGAATCCTAGCCAATGCCTGAGTAAAGACCTTTGTCCTCATCTCATTCCTAGCTCGTTTGCTGACAGCCTTGAAATAGTGACCCCCACCCAGGGTATATGCGGGAAGAATGTTTCCCTGAGATTGAGAGGTTGGGAAACAGGTAAGGGCAGGGGCTTCAGAATTGGGCACCACTAACCTAATGAGTGGTGGGCCATTTAGAACTGAGGTGAGGGTGGTTAATATTTGGAATTCTCTATCCCCTTCTTGAAGCCCGGGGAGGCTCAATCATTAAGTATCGAGGGATAGTATGTGATATAGAAGATCAGCCCTTGACCTGTCGCTAAAATTGCCCTGAAATAGTTTGACGTATTGTGTTGCCATCTAGAATGTGGAGAATGATGGAAGGTAGATTCAATATTAACATTCAAATAACATCTTGGAAAGCAAAGACTTTCAGGGTTCTGGGAGAAGGATGGGGACTTATTGGATAGCCATTTCAAAGCTTGCTGGCTGTCCCCTGCACTGTTAGAGTACGGTACCTCCACAGCCAGCTATTTATCTTTCCACACCATTGACTGCTTGCATGTTGTGTTTGCCTGTGCATTGATGAAAAACCCTCTGGCTCTCTCTCCCCACAGTGCATCCAGTACAGGTTGTACCACATAGCTCCAGCAGACTACGATGACTTTGTGAACATCATTCGCAGCGCACGCAGCGCCTTCTGTTTAACACCAGTCGGAATGATGCAGTTCAACGAAATCCTTCAGAATTTAAAACGAGCAAAGGGTCAAACTAAGGACTTGTGGCAGCGAATCTCATTGGAAATGGCAACCTTCTCTCCTTGATGTCTGTTGGGTTTGTGCAGATTTAGGTTTAATATTGCACCCCTCCTCTTTTTAAAACCACTGTTCCTGTACACTCTGCTACATTCCTCCTTTTAAACTAAGGTTTCAGGTGTCAGGAAGTCATGGTAGGTTCATTACTTTATTTTTGTTTCTGTTGGTCTTGTGAAATTATTGCCAGGATTTCACGGGCAACTTCTTCCTTCAATCTGCAACCTTTCCACTACCACCCACCCCAACCCCCCAACTCCCCCCCCCCCAAAAAAAAATAATTTTTGTATGAGGTAGTTACTATTCATGTACATGTCTTTAATTCTGTGTTTATAAGGAAATGTTTGTTGTCCACTACAGTGTGACTGGGTAAAAAAGCTTCCAGCTCAAGATGGACAGTACAGTTCTCCAGCAATTTCCACTGGAGTGTATGAGCTACTGTGGCCACCCTGAACAGACTGTGGTTTTTATTTATCTGAACTTTTTTCCTTTATTTTTGCCTTTGTTTCTTCCAAATTAATGTTTTTTCATACTTAAAAAAAAAAAAATTTTCAATTGTTTAAAAGAATTATATATTCAGATTCCAGTGCCACTGGGATAGTTCAAGAGCTTTGACACATTTTTCAGTGTTACAGAACAGCTTGTGTGTTTTCTGTCTTCCTCATGTAATGTTGGATATTTTACAAATCTGTTATATTTAGTCCACATCTCCCCATTCCTGTCCCCCTACAAAGGCCAGACAGGTATTATTGACACTGTCTGTGCTAGGAAACTTGCATGAATGTTTTGTGTGAGTAGTTTTGTTGACAACAAAAAGAAACTTTATTATCCAACCATTTCTGTGTTGTGTTGAATACATACACAATTATTTTTGATTAAAGTACACACAAAAAAAAAGCAGTACTCTGCTTGTAAAGGCCCTATATTAAATGCTTGGCTTTGGAATGGAGATGCTTAGATTGAAGAGTTAACAACAGATTGTGGGAGGTCAATTTTTAACTTGCGAAGTTTTTGCTACTTCTTTCTTTTGGGTTTATTTCACAGTTGAGCGAGGATTTCCAGGCACCTGACTTTTGTAAGCTGGATTGTCTTTGTACATCGTGAAAGGTACAGTTCACCCAGCTATCGTGGAGAGAGTTTAAGGCCTTGCAAAGTACATCACATCAACCATAAAATTTACACCAAAAAAAAAACTCAATCCACTGGATGTTGCATCTCAGAAAATATGTTCAACCTCTTGAGAGTAAAATTCTCCAATAACATCATTCAATGTGAATGACACAATAGGTGAGGCGTACTGCGCTGAGGAGATTGGCTCCACTTCCTCCTCCAGGAGACGATGGATTCCTCACCTTAGGCTGTTTTGAAAACCGTGTGTGGGGTGAGGGTGGCAAGAGAGAATGTTTAATAGTCCACGACTGGAAAGTTTTCACACCAACATTTATGTTTTTGTTTGGAAACTAAAGTTGCGCGTTTTTGAAAGTGTCGTTTTCCAAACGTCTGCCTTTAGTGACTGTTCCAAGTGGGACATCATGAATAATGTGAGGTAACTATCGGAGTAACAGGTCCTGTGCTGTTGCGATCAGTGTGCCCAGTTCTCTGGGTGTTAGCTGTGAAGTTACTGGCTTGGGCCTAATATGTACACATTTAGTACTTACAGTGGTACAGAGATGATTAGTTCCAGGAGTACAGCAGTGTCGTTAAGACACGGTGTGGGGTATAAACTAATGTCAGTGTTTGGTGAACAGGACACTACTGTTGCAAAAGCAGTTGATGTAACGATCATTCCACGGTTTGACACTAGAGGACACACTTCGACACTACAAGGACTTGGGGGCAGGGTTTCTGAAGGTTCCAGTATCAGGGGGGTGGGGATGGGGAAGCTGTCACGAATGTGGGTTCCACTGCTCACCAGATTGGTCCTGGTTCATTGCAAAGCCTGCAAGTGGCCCACACGAGAGGAGCCTTCATGAAGTTGAAACGTCAAGCCTTTGCAAAGGTGTCCTCAGGAACCTATCGAATTCCATCGCCTCCTTGAGCACTCAGCCAGCATCACTTGAGCTGGGAGTTGGTGAAATGGGGAGAGAGGTCAGAGGGCATGGAAGTGTCCAAAGAATGGTGGCCATCAGCTGACCACAGCCTGCGCCGTTCAGCTCCAGCTGGTATGTTGTAGCTCCTCCCTCAGCCAACTAGGCAGTGTCTGTCCCAGTTTGTTTAGCTGTTTCGATAGTTCGATGTTATGCTCCCTGTAGTAATTGGTCAGGAATGTCCGTGACTGGGGAATAAAACAGAAGCCCAGCGTTAGTTTGAGGTCTTCTCTTTGGCTGGGAGTAAATGAAACTTCACACAGCCTTAAAACTGAAATAACACATTTTCCTGTTCTTTCTTGCTGGAAAGTGCACATTGGTTTCCCAAAGAACTGTCCATCTCGAGGTTACTGCAGGATATGTATTCTGCATCAATATACATATCGCACACATTAAAAGTACAGGCTTAACTTTTAAGCATCTGTTCACTGTTACACAACAAGTTGCTAATGAATACTTAGCAGTGGTAAACCATTGCAAGGTGTTCGATAAGGTGAAATCAAGCATTGAGGAAGGGGCTTAAGGAAAACTGATCTAAACAGGTAGCTGTTGTCACTGAACTGGTAACCAGAGGGGCCGGGGGGTTCAAATCCCACAACAGTACCTAGTGGAATTTAGTTAATAAATCTGGAATTCAAAGTGGTTGTTGGTGGTGACCATGAAATGATTGTTGTTATTAAAAAATAAACTCATCTGTTTTACAAAAGTCCTTTAAGAAGGTAATCTGCTGTCCTTACCTGTTCTGAGCCACAACCTGTGGAGTGGGACTTAATTCCAGAGTCAAGATTAGAGTCTGATCTTTCACTTAGCCACCTGATCCCCATTCCTCAATGCCCAGTAATCTATCACTGTCTCCTTATTCAAAACTGAGATCAATAACGTGCTCAGAAAACCAGACCGCCAGACTGATACTCTGGGGAACAAATACAGAGAAACTCAGGAGATCTGGCAACAGTTTCGAGTTCACACCAGACTCGAGATGTTGACTCTGTTTCCTCCCGCTCCCCGTGGACGCTGCCAGACCTGCTGAGTTTCTCCAGCATTCTTTGAATGTGTGCCTGTTTCAGATATCCGGTCACTGTAGTATTTTGACGTGGATTCAAATACCACCATGGCAGATGGTAAAACTTGAATTCAATAAAATCTGGAATTAGAAAGTAGGCTAATGGTGACCATGAAATGACTGTTGATTAGTGAAAAGAGAGTGGACTTTTTAATGACCATGTCCTTTAGGGAGGGAAATCTGCTGTCCTCCCCACTGATGTGGCCTACGTGACTCCAGACCCAGAGCAACATGGCTGACTTTTAACTGCCCTCAAATGGCAGAAATTAGCCACTCAAGAGCAACGAGGAATAGACAACATCCACCAGTCGCAAAAGCCACGCTCATGAAAAAATATAGAAAACAGACAAAGGTAGACCCAGAGGTTTAAGGTCACTGCTGGAGGTACAGATGGGAACAGCTGATGGTTAGTGTAAGGTCGTACAAACTCACCGATGAATCCATCTCTGGATATTTTCTTCCTTTGCTTTTGCCCAAACACTTTGATTTGCCACCTTCCACCATCTGGCACCAGAAATTCTTGTTGTCATCGTACCTGAAATGGAATCGGGCATGGGTCTTTATCACTCAACACACCAGAAGACTACGATCTAATGGGATGGCTATCCAAGAAGACACCTACACAGTTCCTCTTCCATTACAATTTGACATCAAAGTAATCACTGCCCTGCCCCACAGTCTTATTGGCCTTTACATGAAAGAAAGTTGAATTTAGCTTCACTTGAAAGAGACTGGACGGAGCAGAATTTGGACTGGATGAGTTCACACTTCAAAGTGACATTTCACATCTTGGTTTCATACAGCCTCGTAGTAAGTCACCGCATGTTTCACAAATCCATGGTGCTGGAAACTTGGAAAAGACTCTACTATGAATGTGAAGTACTTTACACAGTCCCAAGCTTCAGGAGACATCCCTTTTTTTTTTAAAAAAGACTTCATCCATTGAATGTGGTTAGTGCTGGCTGAGCCAACATTTATTGCCCCGTCTCTAGTTGCCCTTGAGAAGGTGTTGCGGAGCTGCCTTCTTGAACCGCTGCAGTCCCCATGTGCTGTAGGTAAACCCACAATGCCATTAGGGAGAGAATTTCAAGATTCTGACCCAGCGACTGCGAAGGAATGACAATATATTTCCAAGTCAGGACGGTGAGTGGCTTGGAGGGGATCTTGTGGATAGTGTTCCCAGCTGTTTGCTGCCCTTGTCCTTCTAGATAGAAGCATGTGGGTTTGGAAGGTGTTATTCAAGATGCCTTGGTGAATTTCGGCAGTGAATCTTGTAGATAGTACACACTGCTGCTACTGAGCATCGGTGGTGGAGGGAGTGGATGTGGTGCCAATCAAACGGGCTGCTTTGTCCTGGAGGGTGTCAAGCTTCTTGAGTGTTGTTGGAGCTGCACTCATCCAGGCAAGTGGGGAGTATTCCATCACATTCCTGACTTGTGCCTGGTAGACAGTGGACAAGTTTTGTAGAGTCAGGAGATGAGTTATGAGTCCAGTACAGTTTTTGGACAATGGTAACCCCATAGAAACTGATACTGGCGAATTCAGTGATGGTAATGAAACAAGGAGGAGATGGTCATAGCCTGGCATTTGTGTGGTGCGAATGTTACTTGCCTCTTGTCAGCCCAAGCCTGGATATTGTCCAGATCTTGTTGCATTTGGACATGGCAAACATCCCCACTTCTGACCTTATGATGGAGGGAAGGTCATTAATGATGTAGTTGAAGATGGTTGGGCTAAGGACACCACCCAGGGGAACTCCTGCAGAGGGGTCCTGCAGCAGAGATGAATGACCTCCAACAACCATGACCATCTTCCTATGTGTGAGGTTTGACTCCAACCAGTGGAGAGTCATCCTTCTCTGAATTCCATTAACTCTACGTCTGCTAGGGCTTCCTGATACCAAAATGTGTCCTTGGTGTTAAGGGCTGTCATGAGACCTTCTCACTTATTATCTAGAGCACCAAAGCACCCCAATCAATCAATTCAGGAGTGATGGTTTTCTTAAATCTATCTGTCTCAGTTTTTAAATTCAAGCTGTTGCCACTGCCAACTTCACAACAGAACCTCAACAGCTTTCTCACTCCTTCTATTCCTTTACATTGTGTGTAAAGAAATGCGACCAGGCATCACTCCTGAACAGCCCAACTCAAATTTTGAAGTTTCACTCCTTGTCGTGCACTCACCCGAGCTATGTAAACAGTCTCTATCTATTGTATCAAATTCTTAACCATCTTAAACACCTCAATTAGATACTCCCTTCATCCCCTGTGATAATGAGGAAAACAATCCCATTTTCTGCTACCCACCCTCATCAATCAGTCTCTACTGTATCAAATTCTTAATCATTTTGAACACCTCAAACTCAATTAGATAGTCCTTTCATCTTTTGATAATGGGGAGAACAATCCTATTTTCTGCTACCCACCCTCATCAGTTTCTTGTCATACCATCCATTGTGCAGCCCCTCCAAATCCAATATCACCTTCTTAAGGTGTGATGCCCAGAGTTAAACATATTCTGGAAGGTCTAAACCTACCAACACATCACTAAGTTACAAATCATTGACTACCATTTGTACAGCACCTTCTGCAATCTCAGGATGTCTCAAAGCTATTTGCAAATGGCAGTGAGATAATGAGTAGAGAATCTGTTTCAGTGATGTTGGTTCAGGGAGGCTCACTGAACAGGAAACGGGGGAGAAATTCCCTCCGCTTCTTCCGTATAGCATCTTTACACACACTTGAGGGGGCAGACAGACTCTGGTTCAATATCATGTCAAAAAGACAGTCCCTCTGACAGTGCAGAACTGCCTTGGTATCGGCACTGCAGTGTCAGCCAGGATTGTGAGCTCAAGACACAGGGGCTGAATGTGAACCTTTTGACTTCAAGGTGAGGGGAGCTACCAACTGAACCAACCCAACATGATTCTGATATTCTCATCCATGAGGGGTAAATGAAAAAGATAGGACCACCATAAGTTACTCTTGTAAATACTCATTCAATAAAGGAAATACATACATCAGAGCTCGAGTGTAGTTGAAGTGAGGGGTAACACCAAGGAATTTCTGTACGGTTTCCATGACAGCCACAGGGTTGTTACGTAACTGTAGGCCATTGACAACAAGAAACTGCAAGGAAGAAGATACTTTTAAATGTCTACCAGGAGGAAACCCCATGAATATTTATGAAATTACACTGACTTTACAGCACAGAAGCATGCCATTCAGCCCAGCAGCTCCATGTCCCACTTCTTTGTTGTCTCTTCCTTCTCCAGCAAAACTCCCATATCGGAAAAAAAAAGACATTGCTCTTTCCACTCTTCCATCCAGTGCAATTCTCAATTCTATCTTACAGTCCGTTATCGACATGTTCACCTTCAGACATATAAACTTCAATCACTGCTTATACCACTTTAGTCACTGGTTGAAGACTGAAGGGTAGCAAATGTTGTTCTCTTATTCAAGAAGGGCTGCAAAGAAAAGCCTGGGAATTATAGACCAGTAAGCTTAACATCTGTGGTAGGTAAGTTACCGGAGAAGATTCTAAGGGAGTCATAGAATCCCTACAGTGTGGAAACAGGCCCTTCGGCCCAACAAGTCCACACTGACCCTTGGAGCATCCCACCCAGACCCATTCCCCTATAACCCACCTAATCTACACATCCCTGAACACTACAGGCAACTTAGCATGGCCAATCCACCTGGCCTGCACATCTTTGGACTGTGGGAAGAAACAGGAGCACCCGGAGGAAACCCATGCAGACACGGGGAAAATGTGCAAACTCCACGCAGACAGTTGCCCAAGGGTGGAATCAAACCTGGGTCCCTGGTGCTGTAAGGTAGCAGTGCTAACCACTGAGCCACCGTGCCGCCAGGGATAAGATATACATGCATTTGATTAGGAGTAATCAGCAAGGCTTCATGCATGGGAGGTCATGCCTCACAAATTTGTTAGAGTTCTTTGATAAAGTGACCAGGAAGGTTGATGAGGGCAGGGCGGTAGACCTAGTCTGTATGGATTTCAGTAAGGTCTTTGATAAGGTTCCACGTGGTAGGCTGCTCTGGAAGATTAGATCACATGGAATCCAGGGAGAGCTGGCGAATTGGATACATAATCGGCTTGATGGTAGAAAGCAGAGTGTAATACTGGAAGGATGCTTGTCTGACTGGAGACCTGTGACTAGTGGTGTGCCTCAGGGGTCGGTGCTGGGCCCATTGCTGTTTGTTATCTATATCGATGATTTGGACGAGAATGTACAAAATATGATTAGTATGTTTGTGGATGACACTAAAGTAGGTGGAATCATGGACAGTGTGAGAGGTTATCAGAAATTGCAGCAGGATCTTGATCAGGTGGGGAAGTGGGCCGAGAAATGGCAAATGGAGTTTATTATAGATAAGTGTGAGGTGTTGCATTTTGGAAAGTCAAATCAAGGTAGGAGTTTCATAGTGAATGGTAGAGCCTTAAGGAGTGTAGTGGAACAGAGGGACCTTGGAGTTCAGGTGAACGGTTCCCTGAAAGTGGAGTCACAGGTAGACAGGGCAGTGAGGAAGGCTTTTGGCACATTGGCCTTCATCAGTCAGGGCATTGAGTATAGAAGTTGAGAAGTTATCATGCAGCTATAGATGATGTTGCTGAGGCTGCACTTGGAGTATTAGTTTTGGAGTATTTAGTTTTTCTATAAGAAGGATGTTATTAAATTAGAAAGAGTGCAGAAGAAATTCACAAAGATGTTGCCAGGACTCAAGGAACTCAGCTACAGGGAGAGGTTGGACAAGCTAGGACTTTTTTTCTTTACAGCGTAGGAGACTGAGCTGGGGGGATCCTATAAAATCATGAGAGGCATAGATAGGGTGAATGCACTCAGTCTTTTTCCCAGGTTGGGGAATCGAGGACTCGAGGACATCATTTTAAGGTAAGAGGGGAAAGACTACATGGGAACCTGAGGGCCAACTTCTTTACACAGAGGGTGGTACGCATATGGAATGAGCTGCCAGCGGAAGTGATTGAGGTGGGTACATTAACAACATTTAAAAGGCATTTGGACAAATACATGGATAGGAAAGGTTTAGAAGGATATGGGCCACGTGCAGGGAAATGGGGTTAGTGTGGATGGACATTTTGGGCCAAAGGACCTGTCTCCGTGCTATAGGACTCTATAATTCTATGGTTGCTCCTTTAGTTTCATTAGCAGTTTATTGGACTTATATTGCAGCTCACTCACATTTGGCAGCTTCTGTTCCCTTTCTTTGCCTCTAGATGATATCCTTTTCACTGCATCACTCCTGAAGATGTCCCCATACCTCTCAGGGATATTTGAAATCTCATTTCTTGCTTGAGATTCTCTAGATTTCCTAGATTTCCTTCCCTGTTCCACGTTCCCATTCTTTCAATATTACCAAGCTCATGTGGAACTAGGATTTATTGACCTGGAGACCTCCCTTGCTGAATGTGACCTCACTTCCCCTTCGACAGGGAATCCTGGCTACTCCTTTGCCTTTGAGTTAGGCTGGCACTATCCTGGGCCATTCTCGCACCAATGCTAACCAATCTTTACTTTTTGGTCACAGAGTCACAAATCCGACAAACGGCAGTGACGAATCAAACAAATTCATCGATCTCGCATTCCGTGAGGGTGGGTCACAAAGAATGGGAGAGTGGGTTGGAGATCAGAAATCTCCAGAGTTATCACCCTGCCTCTTGTTCCGATGGGAGTGTGGAGTAACAGTTCTGTTAGTGTTACCTTTAGTTTGCTGCATCGTTGTTTCTGCTTCAATGATTTACAGTAGGAAAGTGAAACTCTCTACACCTTAGTATACTAAGGTTCCCAAACTGCACCGGCCCCTCCAGCAACACATCACTCCATCAGGACTGCCCTAAAGACTTACTGTGCTACTAGTAAGTCTTGTGCTAAGTGTGTTGGTTTAGCTCAGTTGGCTTGATGGTTGCTTTACAAAGCAGTGTGATGCCAACAGCCTGGGTTCAATCCCCATCAATGGCTGAGGTGATTATGAAGGTCTCTCCTTCTCAACCTCTTCCCCTCGCCTGAGGTGTGGTGGCCCTCAGGTTAAACCACCACCAGAAAGAGCAGCCCTATGGCCTGGTAAGACTATGGCGATACGATGCTAGCCAGCATATTAGGGATGAATCTAAAACAGAATGTCAAAGAAACTCGGCAGCACCTGTGGAGAGAGAAACAGAGTTAACACTTCAAGTCCAGTGACCCTTCTTCAGAATGGTTCCCAAAACATTTTTCTGAAGAAGGGTCCTTTCCTGCTCCTCTGATGCTGCTTCACCTGCTGTGTTCATCCAGCTCTACACCTTGTCATCCCGAAACATTAACTCTGTTTCTCTCTCCTAAGTTGCTGCTTGTCCTGTGGAGTTTTTCCAGCAATTTCTGATTTTGTTTCCGATTTCCTTGTGTTTTTTTTCTCTTGGGATAAATGCCCATTGCTCTTTCTTGAATGGTGCCAATGAGATGGCACCATTGGAGAGGGCATCTCATCTGAAAGATGGCACCCCCAGCAATGCAGCATTCCCTCAGGACTGCAATGGGGTTTGGACCTGGATTTTGTCCCAGGCTCTGGAGCTGGGCGGGGTAGCAATGCTTTGAATCTGCTGGCGTCTGACACAAGAGGGCACGCTCAGATCACAACGGAAACGGGTCATACCTGAGAAGGTTGGTAAAACGTTAGCCACCGCTCGATGTGGGTGGCATACCAGCCGGGCAGCAAGCAACGGTTCTGGAGGACACGGACTTCCCTCGGTGCATCAGGTCTGGCTGTGATCACCTGGTAGAAGGTGTAGTTCAGGGCTGCTGAGTCATGGTGAGCTCTCTGGTGCTGTGGAGAAACCAACAGGTCAGCAAGCTGAGGGATGTGGGCCGTCCCCGCTCAATAAGCTCTTGCTAAGGCGAAACCATGAGGTTACAACACCACGACAGCTCAATGGGAGTTCAGAGCAACCACCTTCTAACTGCATGGAGGGGGGAGGCCAAATGGCCTTCTGCTGAAAACATTAATCCCAGTCATCAAAAAGGTTCTCCCAGGTTGGCAGGCACTACACTGTTCCTATTTCTCTCTCTCTCTACCCATCCCTGCTTGCAATGAGGAGATTATTAAAAGGCTAACTCAATGCATAAACTTTTTTTTAAATTAACCTAATTTTCCTAATCAACCTATTCAGACACCTCTGGAGCAAGTGGGACTTGAACCCAGGCCTCCCAGACCAGAGGTATGGACACCACCACTGCACCACGCGAGGGCCCTCAATGCTACCACATTAATAATTAGCACAAAATGTCATCCTTATCTGTTTTAAGGTCAGTTTTACTTGAGTGCAGCAACTCCACTCAATCGCTTCAGTCTGATTATTGATAAGAACGAACAAAATAGGAGCTTGAGGAGGCCATTCAGCCCTTTAAACTGCACTGCTACCCAATGAGATTGTGTCCAATCTCCAACTTCATCCCTTTCTTATAAAATCCCTGCATCCGTTGATGGTTTTAATATCTAGAATGGCCTAGTTATACACTGTAGGATTTCTACGATCATTCCACCATCTGCTGTGGTGGGATTTGAACTCGGGTCCCAGAGGATTAGTTGAGTTATTGGATTAATAGTCTAACAATAATACCACTTGGCCATTGGTTCCCCAGGTCTTTCAATATTTTTTGAGGTAGAAATAGATTGATGATCAGCGAGTTGGGTGAAAGGTTATCGGAGGATAGGTGAGAAGGTAGAGTAATCAGATCAGCCATGATCTCATTGATTGGTGGGGTAGGTTTGAGGGGGGCTGAATGGCCTATTCTGCTTCCAAATCCTATGTTCATTCACATCTAAATGATAAAGGGAGCGTCATTGTAAACTTTGAGCTAGACCATTCATGAACAAAATCGCGAAGGACATTTTCGGACACAGGTCATGGAAATCTGGGACGCACTATCCATAAGGATTCAGATACTAGGGACCAATTGAAATTTCCAAAACTGAGATTCATTACTCTCCATTGGCCAAGAGCACCAAGGAACATGAAACAAAGGCAATTTGGTCAAATTGAGGTACAGCTTTGTCATTATATAGAATCCCCACAGTATGGAAACAGGCCATTTGGCCCAACAAGTCCACACCAACCCTCGAACAGCATCCCACCCAGACCCATAGCCTCTGCCCTATCCCTGTATTTCCCATGGTTAATGCACCTAACCTACACATTCCTGAACACTATGGGTAATTTGGCATGGCCAATCCATGTAACTTGCACATTTTGGACTGTGGGAGGAATCCTATGCAGACACAGGGAGAATGTGCAAACTCCACACAGACAGTTGCCCGAGACTGGAATCGAACCTGGGTCCCTGGTGTTGTGAAGCAGCAGTGCTAACCACCAAGCCGCCCCATTGAATGGTGGAGTAGGCTTGGAGGGGGGTGGCTCTGAATAGGCTCCTTCTATCCCCATAATATGGCAAAGATAAATGATACATTAATTGGTGCCAAAAGTCTCTTTATCCATACAAAGTGTCTATTGAGCTATCAGACGTGACTCCAACTGATGCAATGGCTGTGAAGTATTTTGAGATGAAATAACAGGAATCTAAATACAAAGTCTGTTTTTCCCTTCCGTTTTAAGCAGTTAAAAACCCAGAAGAAATGTTTGCAGCTTGGAAGCAGATATAAGAGGGAATGCTATGTGCATTCACGTAAACTCCCAGCAGGCCATAGTTTCCACTGGTGCTCCACAGTAACTGTCAAGCTTGATTAGAATCAGCTGGAGTGCACTCAGGTTTAGGAAAATGAAAAGGAAAACAACCGCAAAAACAAGAAGAAAAATCCTTCCCCTGCAGCTTCCTCACTTTCTGGATCGCAGCTGTGGAAGATCTTCAAGTCTCTGGGTTCAAATCTAGGCCAGGCCCTCGGGTTGTGAGGCCCTCCCTGTTGCACTGGTTCGATCCAGATTCTACACACTGGGAGACGCCAATGGCACATTCCCCAGCATTCAGTGCAGGCTGATAGTCTCCCTCAGCAAGGCCAGGCAGACAGGCAGCGCACGTGGAGAAGGAGAAAGGGCACACATCTTCTATCCTTCTCCAAAGCATTTCTCAAAATCTCAAACGAAAGCAAAATACTGAAGTAAAGATGAAGGGATCTGCACTCAACACTGGGCTGCTGAGTCTGGCTTGTCTGGAGGTTCTGTCACATGATTTCCCGCCTCCAACGCCCCCAGTAAAAGGGACTTTTAAATCCCATCCTCATCGGTACTAGTCAAAGGAAGCTTCTTAAATAAAATCAGTAAAACACAATTTTCATTTATGGATCCCTAGGATTTCTGTCCCAACCAACATGGAGTCATACAGCACGGAAACAGACCCTTCAAAGCAACCAGACCATAATCCCAAACTAAACTAGTCCCATCTGCCTGCTCCTGGCTCATATCCCTCCAAGCCTTTCCTATACATGCACCTGTCCAAATGTCCTTTTAAACACTGTAACCGTGTCCACAATCCACCACTTCCCCTAGCAGTTTGTCCAGGTGAGTAATTTTGGATACACCAGAGCAAAATCTGGAGAGTTGGCAACCTGAGCTTTATTTTTTATTATTCATGGGATGTAGGCATCGCTGGCTAGGCCAGCATTTATTGCCCAATCCCTAACTGCCCAGAGGGCTGTTAAGCGGCAACCACATTGCTGGGGGTCTGGAGTCACATGTAGACCAGATCAGATTTCCTTCATCAAGAGACATCAGTGAACCAGATGGGTTTATCCTGACAATCAGCAATAGCTTCATGGTCATCATTAAACTCTTAATTCGAGATTATTATTGAATTCAAATTCCACCATCTGCCACAGGCAAGATTTGAACCCAGGTCCCCAGGATATTAGCCAGATCTCTGGATTAATAGTCCAGCAATAATACCACTAGGCCATCGCCTACCCACATCCTGTCTGCTCTTGGTCACGTTCATGCTGTTACTGTCAGATAAACCCATCCAAATGTCCAAAGGTGACATCCCTCAAGCTGGCCAACAAAACATCCATTCCAAAGAAAAGCAAATGGAGCTTGCAGCAATACTGTCAAAAGTTGAAATCAAAGAAAGTTACAGCACTGATGGGGCCATTTGGCCCCTTTAAGTCATGGACTGCCCTTGTTTTTGACATGACTTTGTAGGTTCCTCATACTCGACTATCTTTCTGCAGCCCTTTTCAAATCGCTGAGGCAATTAATTTTATCAGGTATTTTCTCCACAACCCCTACAGCAGATAAAATCACCTCGCTAGACGTGACGACGGAGTTCAGGCCCATGTGACAACAACTTGCATCTATGTAGCGCCATCAAAGGGAAACATCCACGAGGCATTTCACTTCGGCAACATCAACAAAACTCAACACCCCGAACCACACAAGGAGGGTCAGGATAACTGACCAAAGGGTGAAGGGGTAGGTTTTATGGAAAAGTGCTGTAGAAACTTCAGCAGGTCTGGCAGCATTTGTGCAGAGAAGAACAGAGTTCGCCATTTTGAGTCTGGTTCAAATCTTCTTTAGAACTGCCACTTCCCAAGTTCTGCCTCTCTTAGTTCTGAAGAAGTTAGACTGGACTCAAAACAGTAACTTGGTTTTTCCTCTCTCTAAAGATGCTGACAGACCTGCTGAGCTTCCCAAGGATTCAGCATCTGTCCTCATTTGAGATCTCCAGCACACACAGTATTTTGCTTTTATTTGAGGCTTTAAGAAACAGTTTGGAGGGGAATCATAGAATCCCAGTAGTGTGGAAGCAGGACATTCGGCCCAAGTCCACACAAACCCTCCAAAGACCAACCCACCCATCCTATCCTTGCATTCTCATGGCCAACCCACCTTTGGACTGTGGGAGGAAACCGGAGCACCCAGAGGAAACTCACGCAGATACGGGGAGAATGTTCAAACTCTACACAGTCGCCCAAGGGTGGAATAGAACCCGAATTCCTGGTGCTGTGAGGCAGCAGTGCTAACCACTGAGCCACCGTGCCGCCCAGAGAAAAGGAAAGAATTCCAGAGTCAGGGTTCAGGCAAATCGAGGCACGGCCTCCTGTGATGGAGTAAAGAAAGTCAGGGATTGTCAACAGTTCGGGATTGGCACGCAGAGATCTTGGGAGCACTGTCAGGCTGGAGGAGGTTACAGAGTCAGAGGGGGAAAAGAGAGAGGCCAGGGACAGATTTGAAAATCAAAGGCATTTGGTCAAACACCTACAAAGGGGCACCGCACTCTACAGATGTTCATCGCTAATCCCATGTATGGAATGGAGCACAAACCTGGTACCAGGAGTATGCTCGCTCCACTGGGTTGATCAGAATGGCAATGATCTTCGCTCTGGGCAGTAGGGCCATCGCCCTCTTGGGGACCACTTCAGATTCAAAGTAATTTGCACTCTTCTCGAACATGAAATCCGTGCTCGCGTTTGACGGGATTGGGAAGAACTCCATGTACCTGAAAGAGAAATAAAACAGGATACAGTTTTTTGAGAGCAGACTGGTGGATTATCACTATTGCTCCTCTGGGTAGGATAGACTAGCGCAGATATTCTGATGGCCAGAGAGTTATTGGAGCAGAACACGCTGGGGATGTGTGATGGGGATCTTGTGGAATCCCAGACACAGCAGACACCATGGGAATCATTCAGGAAATTGAAGATTCCAGTAGGCAACCCCACTTTGTGTGGAACTCCCCCACCCAATAATGACAGGAATTTAGACAGATCTATATCAGTTAAGCTGCTGTAACTTTTAAGGTGACACCTCAGCACCATCCCGATACCATACAACCCATGTCAACTATCCACCTGACTCTTCTTCCATCCCTGCCAATCCAACAGGATTCTACCCCTCTCCCTCCGCACCAGACCCAACAAACACTAAGCCCCGCCTGCTGAACAGGACCACTCCTGTCTCCACCTGGCCCACAAAACCCAATACCCTATCCCGTGCCAGCCTGAAACCACCCCGGTCAACAACTTCTCTGACTCGATTCCATGCCTCCGACAACTAGCCCCTTTCTTGGCCTACCTTAACTATTCCATCTCTTAGCTGGCACCCTGCTCACCCAATATTTTGCCCACCTGGCACCTTGCCCATCTGTCACATGCCCATCTGGCACCTTACTTACCTGGTATCTGCCCACTTGATACCTTGCACACCTGACAGCCTACCCATCTGGCACCTTGTTCACCTTACCCACCTGGCACCTTGCCCACCTTGGACCCTACCCCCACACCTACATTACATACACAGCCTTTCACAGTAGCTGCCCGAGTGTCTGGCTGTGCTACCGGACATCGAAATCGCAGACAATGGAACACATGGACTGTGACAATGGGGCTGTTTTTATCACTTCTCCTGACTATCCTATAGTACAGGGGAACCTGCTGATTTCAGGGATGCTGCACATTTCTAAAGGAGCTGGTATCGGAATTCCTGACTAGAAACGTAGACCCTAATAGGAGTGGAGCGCCACTCCTCGGAATGTCCTGGTGAATGATAAACCTCACCTAGGAAATTGGCTGCTGCAACGTCAGCTCCTTCTCTAACATACAGCAGCCTGGAGGATCATTGCAACCACAACCTGCATTTATGTGGCACCTTCAATGGAGTAAAAGATTCCAAGCATTTCACAAGAGCAATGAATCAAAAGTAAAGGGAGATATTAGGACAGGTGAGTAACAGCTTGGTCAAAGAGGTAGCTTCTCAAGAGAATGCAAAACGGGGAGAGAAAGCTGACAAGGTGCCAAGGTTTAATGAGGGAATTCTAGAATTCAGTGCTAGGGCAGCTAAAGGCATGGGTGCCAACGGCACAGTGACTAAATGCCCGTTTGCATTCAGGGCAATCTGAGTGTTAAGCATGTTGTGGCAGGATTCTTCCAAAGTGATCCCAGGTACCATCAAACATCCGTAGGAAATCCTCCAGCGCATTCTCATATTTACAGGGCTATCTTAAGCGATCAAGATCAGCAGATTTAAAACAAAACTATTATTGATGCGCTAAGTGCTCCACATCTCACCAGCTGCAGAAAAGCTAGAAAGTTCCAGTCTCTGGAACACTTGAGTAAGCAAAACTGACAGGGCCTTACCAGTCAATTCCTTTGTTATAATTAGCTCCGTTGAAGAACTGAATTTCCTCATAGGTGACTGGGCTGGGGAAATTACTTGTGACTCCGGGATGCAAGGAGAGGAAAAAGTGCAAAGCTGTGGTACCTGGGGAAAAGGAGAGTGTCAATCATGAAGATGCTATTTTCAAAGACCCCTTTCTTTACCAACTCCACTGAACTTTAAAAAGGCAAAAACTGCATAAAGTCGAAATTTACAGGAAAAAAAAGATACGCATCAGACCTTTGCACATCTCTTAGCAGTTCCTCAAAGGTTATGAAGTGCAATGATTACTGGTGCATAAGCAAACAGGATAACCTGCCAAGTCTGTGAACATGAGTGGTTTTAGTTCGCAACGTATTTGTGGACGCTCAAATTCTCCAGCCCTTCTTTAAATAATGGCACAATCTCTTGAGAAAAGACTAAACCGGCAGATCTGATCTTAATTTTTCATTTGAAAGTTGGCACCTCTGACAGTGTGGCACGGTTTCGATACTGCACTGGAATGCCAACCTACTGGGGTGGCACGGTGGCTCAGTGGTTAGCACTGCTGCCTCACAGCGCCAGGGACCCGGGTTCGATCCCACCCTCGGGTGACTGTCTGTGTGGACGTTCTCCCCGTGTCTGCGTGGGTTTCCTCCGGGTGCTCCAGTTTCCTCCCACAGTCCAAAGATGTGCAGGTTTTGTGGATTGGCCATGCTAAATTGCCTGTAGTGTTAAGGGATGTGTAGCTTAGGTGGGTTATAGGGGAATGGGTCTGGGTGGTATACTCCAAGCCCACACTGTAGGGATTCTATGATACTTTCAGTATCAGACTCTGCTCCACGCTCTGACAGGGTGCCAGAAAACCTGGGATTATTTTCTTTTAAGAAAAAGGGATTATTTCTGCATAAATAAACCCTGACACAGAAACTTCCTGCCTCTGTAATAGAGTCATACAGCACCGAAACAGACCCTTTGGTCTAATCAGTCTATGCCAACGATAATCCCAAACCTAGACCTATCTGCCTGCGCTTGGCCCATATCCCTCCAAACATTTCTTATTCACGAACTTATCCAAATGTCTTTTAAATGTTGTAACTGTAGCCGCATCCACCACTTCCTCTGGAAGTGGATTCCACGCACGAGCCACTCTGTGTAAAAAAGTTGCCCCTCGTGTCTTTTAAATCTGTTGCCTCTGGCCTTAAAAATATGTCCCCTAGTTTTGAACTTGCCCCACTCTGGGGAAAAGACACCTGCCATTAACCCTATCTACGCCCCTCATGATTTTATAAACCTCTGAAAGGTCACATTCCAACCTCTTGCGCTCTAGTGGAAAGAAGTCTCAGCCTACCCATCTATTCCATGTTAACTCGTTATGATTTCCTGAATGTCACAGACTGAGATTAAAGGAATGCTAGTTAATGGTTAAAACTTATGAAGAGAGATGGAAACGAACAGGTTACCAGTTTTCTGCGGGCCGATAATGAGAAACTTAGGAAGCCTATCGCAGGTTTTCTCTTTCGACCAAATGTCCTTATGCCGTTTGTCATCACATGGGTTCTGAAAAAGGAACACACCACTAAGTCTATCACCAGGCTCTTCAGCATTATCCTCCAAAGATTCGGATGCCCAAGAAATTTTTTTTCTAAAAGAAATCAACAGAAACAGAAATTGCTGGAGAAACTCAGCCAGTCTGGCAGCGCTGCAGAGAGAGAAACAAGGTTAAAATTTCAAGTCCAAGACCTGCTGAGTTTCTCCAGCTATCTCTGGTTTTGTTTCTCATCTCCAGCATTGGCAGTTCTTAGTTTTACTAAATCTTTTTTATTTTCAGTCATGGGGCATGGGCATCGCTGGCTAGGCCAGCATTTATTGCCCATCCGTAGTTGCCCCTTGAGAAGGTGGGGGTGAGCTGCCTTCTTGAACCGCTGCAGTCCATGTGCTGTAGGGAGACCCACCCCCCCACCCTCCACACGTCAAGAGAAGCCATACTGTACAGACCAATTGCAGTCCATAGATTCCTGTACTGCAGTGAGATCTGCATTGTATACGAACTGGCTCCAGCTACCAAATGGCCGGAGAGATACCGGATTTAACTTCACAAACAGCATGGAATTCGAACCTGAGCCCCCATCATCATGGACATTGTGCAATTTCCACTGAACCCCATGGAGTCTTCCAGTATTACAATACCAATCCGCTCACGTATTTACATCTCCCTCGTCCCAGCACTGAAAGGCACAAGGTTCTGAGGAAGGGTCACCAGACCCGAAACGTTAACTCTGATTTTTCCTTCACACGTGCTGCCAGACCTGCTGAACTTTTCCAGCAATTCCTGTTTTTGTTCCTGATTTACAGCATCAGCAGTTCTTTCGGTTTTCATTGAAAGGCACAATCTATGACAATATCACTTCTGTATCGTTGATAGGACCTTCTGCTTTACTGTGGAGCACCAACAGTTAATTTTCAGAGGATTAAAGACGAAATGAGCCGCGAAGAGGTGGCAAGGGAGCTTTTTTTTCAGTCATAGCAATGATACCTGGATTCTAATTATTCCTGGTTCTCTGCAAAAAAATAATTAATAACAGCTTGGGGTACTCAGTAGTATTTCTGAGACAAACCATGTGACTGAAATCCTCACGTAATAGCATTTTACACATCATAAAAACACCAGGCATTTACTGCTAGAGCTGTTTGATCATACCAGAAGGAGAAAAGGAAGGAGAAAAGTTCTCTTGCCTGCCACAAGGGGTCCTTTTCCTCAGGGAACAGCTCAAAGTACTTGGCTCCCAGTTTCACCGGTGGTAGTGTCTGCAGTTTCAGGTTAGTCCAACACTGGACGAACTTCACCAGGCTTTCAAACGTGTACAGCCCCAGGCGGTCGTTGCCGTAGTTGGACAGGTGGGTCATGAAGATGCTGATCTGAAAGTCAAACAGACGCGAGCTGTGAGTAACCCTCCAGTGCCCGCATCGTTTGCAAAACTACCTCCTATTTGCAATGGGACCTGAAGCTGTTTTGGGGGCCACAGTTCCCTGCTTATTGAAGAAACATTTCAAACTCATGAATGAGGAGCAGGAGGAGGCCGTTCAGCCCTTCAAGCATGCTGTGCCACTCATAAAGTCATACGGTGCAGAAGAGGCTCTTCAGTCCATCAGGTACACGCCCACAAAACAAAAAACCAATAAGATTACAGAAGATCTCATTACTCCTGCCTGCTGAAAGTCTAAATGTGATGACAGGCAATACAAGTCTAATCCAAACAACCCATTCTTACGGCTGTTCTACTTGCAGTGCCTACACTACAGCACCCGTCCCAGAGGCTAACATCTCCTGCCATGCCCAGAATTAAATGTATCCTGGAAAGACCAAACATATTTTAATCTCTTGTCAGCAAGTTAGAAATCATTGACTTACCCTTTGTATAGCACCTTCTGCAACCTCAGGATGTCTCAAAGGATGTTACAGCGAGTAAACTACTTCTGAGGTACAGTTGCCGTGATAGAGGGAATCAAATGGGGCTACTTTAGTTTGGGAAACCTTCGGTATGGACCGAAGAGTCTGTTTCTGTGCTGCATGACTCTATAAGCTCCCACCTTATGATCTGTATGTCCTTGTATGTTACAATTTGCCTGCACTGCATGCAAAACAAAAGTTTTCACTGTACTTAGGTACAATAAATCAAATCAAATCAAAATCAAAAGCAGTGAAGTATTAATGAACTATAATGTTCTGTTGGTTCAAGGAGAAACGTGGACCAGGAAACTGGGGAGAAATTCCCTCCACTTCTTCCACACAGCACCTTTACACTCACTTGAGGGGGGCAGACGCACCCCTGGTTCAAAATCTGTCAAAAAGCAGTCCCTCTGACAGTGCAGCACTCCCTTGGTACTGGCACTGTAGCATTGGCCTGGATTGTGAGTTTAAGACACATGGGCTGAACGTGAATCTTTTGACTCCAAGGCGAAAGTAGACCAATCCAAAATGAAATTGATACTCAAACTCACAAGGACCAAAGGAAAAAAATATGAATAGTGGGTGTTATCTTGCAACAGATGGAAAATGGGTTGATGGAAATACACACATCAGAGCCCAAAAGTAGTAGCAGAAGGGAGGGGTAACACCAAATTATTTCTGTACATTCTCCAAGACTGTGATAGGGTTGTTATGTAGGAATGAAATGAAATGCCATGGCAAGTTTTTCAACAAACGAGACACAAGCACAAATTGTTTTAGATGATGATGAGATGACAGAATTATCAGTAGAACTGAAAACATTTCTTTAATTTTACAGTTTACCATCAAGTCGAAGTAGGTGATAATTTCATTTACTGGCATGAAATTCCCTCTTTGTCTGTTGTTATTCACATTGCTTAATTTACTGAAGTGCAAAAAAGAAAATCAGGCAAGAGACCATAAATGAGAAACTGTTAGGGACAAATTGAAGACAGAAATGTACAGAAATGAGAGCTATCCATTTCCCAGTGCACCTGCTTTTACCACAGGTATTGATGGTAATCACCATAATTGCACAGAACTGTTCCCTAATGTGTAATTGCAATGAAATGTACAAAAACCTGCTGTTCTCCTGCTAACAAGAAGCAAAATTAAACTCCATCCTCAAACCACGTGAGCACAACAGCAGTGTCTCAGCTAAATCGTGTCATTTAGTGACAAGGAATCTGCCCTCTGCTCCCTTTCCTGTCCCCAGTCCTGCTGTCATCGAGACAAACTCCAAAAATAGAGACAAACTCCTCACAACAGCCAAGCCACCTCCAAACAACAGCACAGATGGACCACACTGAAAGACATGACACCCCCTGGTCGTCAGGGTCACCGGTATACACCCTCAATCCTAAACCACCTTTCAACAGGATTCATATCCAAGTGCTGGGAAATGGAGAGGCAGAGGAAAAGGAGAGAGAAAAAAGAGAGAGAGAGACAGAGGAGGGAAAAGAAGAGAGAGAGAGTGAGAGAGAGGAAAAGGACGGGGGGGGGGGGGGAGGGGGGGGGGAGGGGGGGGGGGGGAAAAAGAAGAGAGAGAGGAAAAGGAGACAGAGAGAGAGGGGGAGAGGAAAAGGAGAGAGAGAGAGATGGGGGAAAAGGGGAGAGAGAGAGAGGAAAAGGAGAGAGAAAAACGAGACAGAGACAGAGAGGAAAAGGAGAGAGAGAGGTAAAGGAGAGAAAGAGAGACGAAAGGGGAGAGAGACAAAAAAGGAGAGAGAGAGGAAAAGAAGAAGAAACAGGAAGAGGAAAAGAAGACAGAGACGAAAAGGGGAGAGAGAAAGAGAGGAAAAGGAGAGAGGGAGGGGAAAAGGAGAGCATTACAAAAGAAGAGGCAGAGGCAAAAAGAATAATAATGTTTTTAGTGGCAAAGAATGCATATAGAAATAATATAGAACAATAATTCTTGACTCCATGAAAAAAATCCAACCATGGGCTTGTCCCTCCCAATGAGCCTAACCCCCTCCAGTCCTATGACCCTCGATCATTTCTGTACCAGTCCAGTAAGTGCGGCAACACCCCCCAACCCATGCCCCAGTTCCATCTCAATATTGGAAGGAGTTTAAAGCTGAGAGACAGGGTGCAGACAAATCAGAGGGTCATGTAAACAGGCACATTGCAAATACAATCAATCAGTCTCTTTGTTAACAATCCTCAAAGACCTGAAGAAGGTGTGTCTGTTTTTGTACAATGTGTTGTTGGGATGTGGAAGGCAGTACCTTTCACTTCTTCAAAGCATGCCAGTTTGTCAGAGCAAACCCCAACTTTCTCAATCCAACCTTCTGTTGTGGATACAACGGCTCTTTAACAGTGCCAGGCCTGACATAAATCACATTACCCTGAGGAAACATTTACCTTGTACAGATTCATTTGCTAGTGAAGCAAACTCATTAATGATTATGGAGTGAGTCAGTTGGCTAGAAAATAAAGCAGAACGATGCCAAGGGCCCAGGTTCAATCCCTGTTACTGACTGATCGTGGGGTGTCCTGTGTCCTTGTCCCATGTTAGACAGAATGGTGTTCCTCAAGCTATAATTAACCACTTGTCTCTCTCTTAATGGAGAGTGGTCTATGGTCCTTTCTAGGCTATGGCTAATTATCTTGTCGAACTTGGCTCCCATTATAATATTGAACATGAGGGGATTGAGGGACAGTAAGAGAAAGTGGGAGCTGTCTTACTGATTACCACATTACTGCCGACAATTGGTTCTCGCTATTTACAGTACCTTATTCTAATAGGGTCAATAACTTATTGACACCCCTCAATGTGCTGAATATGAAAACTGTAGGAAAAATCTAAATAGTATCTCTTCCCCATGTTGAATTAGCAGATGCTTCATGACAGATACCCGTGTCTCTGACACACACACACACACACACACACACACACACACACACACACA